GCATAGCGGTATAGCAGTGGTAGTAGTGGTGTTAGTAGTAGTAGTAGTAGCAGTTGTAGTAGAAGCAGCAGCAGCACCAGCAGGAGTAGTAGTAGTAGTAGTAGTAGTAGTAGCAGTTGTAGTAGCAGCAGCAGCAGCACCAGCAGGAGTAGTAGTAGTAGTAGTAGTAGTTGTTGTTGTAACTTCGACTTGCATTCGTACGAATCTTCTTGTAAGATAAGCATCTTTGTTCCTTCGACAAAAGCAATAATTCTGAAGAAACAACTTGTGACTTCAGAAACAAAGAATGCATTGCAGCATCCTATATCCCAAACCGTGAATCTGTTTCAACCCCAAACTCTATATGCCTCGAACGAAACATAGGCATTAGCATAGGGTTTTCATGGCGTCAAAATGGGGACCAGGGGACCGAAAACCGGTCCCCCACACAAAAGTTCCAGCATAGTTTCGGAGACAGTTCCTGTTACGCTCCCGGCTCAGTTCCCTTCTATCAGATACTCGGCCCACACGACATTACGAACGCTCACGGTTCCTAAGGCTTGGTGTGGATGACACTACGTCTTTGTTTCGGAACTTGCTGTCGCAACAGAGCACAACATGGAGCAGAGTATTTAAGAAGGCGAATATGTTGAGCCACCGGTAGCAGAATTAGGAAGAGCATCGGTGCTGATGGGCTTGCCAAGAGTTTAGTGCCCTCGAAAACAAATTGGAATTATAGAAACTACAGGGGAATGTTTTCAAAGTTTCAAGATTTTATAGCATGGTTTAGCCTTGGTGGATTTGAGGGTTTAAAAGGCGCACGTTAGAAACATGTCACACAACGTGTGTGGGGAGCCTACTCCTACTGTTCCGTAAACTTTTTTGGCATCTTAAGCCGAAGCCCTTATTTTTCAAATCCCTAAGCTTTACACACTACCTCGTCGCCATCGTTATCGTCGTGACATTCTGTTTCCCGTCAGCATCATCAACAAGGCCTTGAGTCAGGTCGTGCGGCATCAAAACATCGCGCATGGTGGGTATTTAGGGTGCGTGGGTGTGTAGCAGAAATCCGGGCCAGCAGGGCCGCTTTAAATTCGTGGTTTACAACTCGGGTTCGGAGGGTAGAAGGGCCGATCACGTTGGTTTAACCACTGCGCAATTCCGCCCGGCCCAGCCTGCAATTTAGTCGGCGGTTGGAGCAGTCGTAGGGTTTGCAGTCTGGGGTTTTGGGTTCACGTCTTCTGGGGTTTTGACGAAGCGACCTCCCGCCACAGTCCGAGCATACATGTGCATACGTCACAACAATTCAAATCAGGTATTAGGCAATCCGATGAGTGGCCGACACCAAAAAAAGCAAAATCGATGCAAGGCCAATCTTTGCTTTAAACTTTAAAACGAAAAGCGGACAGGTGTTTCGTATCGAAGCCATTCATTCGTAAGGTCTTATAGTATCTTATAGCTCTTTTATTTTCGTGGATTTTCGACCACTCAATAGGAGTTAATCACTTGAAGAATTTTCGGCTGCCCCAGTTGTCCGAAGCGAGGTTAGTCAAACAGCGTGGTGCTTTGGGTGTCAGTGTCAGCTGCGGCTTGCCTTTTTTTGGCTCAATTGCAATATGAGGCCCCGGCCAAGGTTGGCAATCCGCCACTGGCCTGGGTGGACATGGCGAGCATGCAGGCCCGCTTTTGCAGCGAACATGAGTCTTGCTTTTGGATCCTTTGTTCCATCATTCCATTGCTCCCAACACGGGATACTGCACAGGGCCTGGCAGCGTCAGCTTCATCGCCGGTCCTCGGAGCTCAGCCCGCCGACCACCCAGCGGCATCTACTAGCAGGAAAGGGATATATGTCCTTTGAGTGCAGCCCAGGGTGGTCCTTGGGTCAATCGCAAGTTTGATCCGCTTCACACCGTGGGGAAGCATGTGGTTGCCAGCTTAGCCAGCAGATGGCTGCCACCATGTCAGTTACCGCCTCAAAACGAAAGTGCAACTAGTGTTCGGCTGGGACTCCGGGAAACAATTGCAAAAAGTGTCCATTCGGGGTGATGACGTTCGGGTTTATGTCGTTTGTTTTTTTGCCACATATATATATATATATATCTAGGATGACTTTTCCCAGCCGCAGCTCCATCGGAAAAAAGACAAGCCCGGCCAGGTGTGAATGAGCAAATCAAGCACCGAAACGGGATGATCAGATGATTTTTTCCTTGCTGTTCCTGGCTTTTGGCGTTGGCTGTCAACCAGGCTCATGACACGAGAATGTTTTGACCGACGGACAAAGGTCATGCCGCCAATGAACGAAGCCGCTGCTGTCGCATGGAAGGCACGCAGAAAGGCACTCCACCAGGGTCATCCCTGCTTTTCGGAGAGCCATCCTACAGGAAGTCATATTCACGTGAGGTTTCACATGTCACGGTTTGTCAAACTTGATAGCTGCTCCTTTGTCGAAGTCCTGTTTCTGCTCTCCTTCGAAAGTTTTGACAAGGCATGGTGCGGAAGCCATGGTGCAGGTTTGGAGGATTGTTGGTGGCACAGACAAAGGTGGGATCGTGGTGCGAGATGGGGAAGGGCTGAGGTCTCAGCAACTGCGAGCACGTTTGGTAACCGGTACACTCGTAGAGGAGCTTGAGACGCGTGGCTCCCGCCTGCATTTCAGATTACTGGATGGTTGTGGCCCTCCACATGGATGGATTAGCCTGAAGGTGAGTGGCAAGGACCTGGCTGTTCCCGTACACGGCGAGGGATTCGAGGAGTATCGGCACGTGGTCATACACCTTCGAGACTGCGTACAGCAGGTTTTCGTCGACAAGATACCGAGCATCGCGGAATTGAAGGCCTTACTCTTGAAACACCCGACCTGGACCTTGGGCGATGGAGTAAACTTCAAGAAGGCAGGAAGTGGGGCAAGTGATGGGATCCTTCTAGACTCCGACAGTGTCGAAGGGGAGCTGGAAGTGATTCGCCATGCATCGCCTTCGCCTGCGTGGTACTCGGCGCTCGCAGCCTTGCGTGCAGGCGCCACCGACGAGATGGCCAACGAGTCCCTGAAACTTCTAAGCATTCTTCCTTCTAGCGACGAGCCAGCAATGATCCACCTGGTTAGAGGTTTGGTTCTGTGGAAGTGGTACAAGTTCGAGGCCTGCCTCAGGGAGTTGGAGGCTGCTCAAGAGGTGGAGTCTGCAGCTCATGTTCTTCTGGCGCTGCAGATCTGTTTAGGTCGATGGCCTGAGGCAGCAGCGCTGGCAGAAGGATTGCCGGACGCGACTGCGCTCATTGCCGGATGGTCTAGTGGAGGTGCAGGGCACTTTTCCCCAAGCAGTGCTGACTTCGTCCCAGAGACTGTCGAATTACGTCTTGGACTGAGACAGATGGACGCTCGGATTCCCACTATCGACGGTGTCTGTCTTGGCGTGCGTCTGTTTCTGCAGATGGAATCCGGTTCTCCGCGGGTCTCCCGGCCCTTGGTGCTCTACTTTCACGGAAATGCAGAGAATGTCGACACCTACAAGGATCCAGAGGTCTTCGCCCCGCTGCAAGCGGCCTCGGCCAGCGCTCTCATCGTTGACTTCCGGGGCTACGGGTTTTCAACGGGGGGAAGTGGGCCTTCCCTTTCCTCAATGAATGCAGATGCTGAACACGTCTGTGATGCTTTGCCGGAGTTTTTCAAGAGCCGCGACCTGCCGTGGCCCTGGCCTGGCGGCCTCGTTCTGTTCGGGCGTTCCATGGGCGGGATTTGTGCCTGCCATCTTGCCGGCCTTCGCGGAGACCTCTTTGATGGTGTGGTTTTAGAGTCGACGATGTGTGGGAGCCACGCGCCGGGGGCAGAGGCCCCACCAGAGCCTCCACCAGATGGCAGTGGGATGGGCCTCGGGGGAAGCCGGTTTGCCCCACCAGAGCTGACAGCAGCAGTGCTGCAAACAGGTGAGCTGTGCAAGAAACTGGTTCATGGTGCATTGGCAGTGGCAGGCGGTCTGCGGGATCTTGCAGAGACGGACTTGGGAAGCTTCGTCCACGCGATGGGGAGCGAAGACAAGCTGCGAGGCTACACAGGGAGGCTGTTAATCTTGCATGGTGAACTGGACACGATTGTGCCGGTGAGCCACTCGCGCCGGCTTTGTGATGCAGCTGTGTCTGCAACCAGAAGACTTGTGACTATTGGCAAGGGCCACAACGACATTTCGTCCAGTAGCAAGTATACCGAGATGTTGAAGAAATTCCTCTCTGGAAGCTAAGCATCATGCACCAACGCTGCATCAAGATTTTGAACTTGTTATAGCGTGTGGAGGCTTGTGGCCGAGGACATGTTCAGGTCGCCGCCCCGTCCCGTGGCCAAGAGTCGCTACGGTCCGTTTGAGAGACGTGCTGGACACCTATTTGATCGAACTCGCTGGCACACCATCTGCAATCGAAAACAGCCTGATCAACATCCAGGCTACGGACGATGTGCATCAAAGGAGCAATTGCAGCCTTTCAAGTGCATCGATGCGCCGGAAGTCGCGACAAAGAAGTCTTCAGCTTCACACGCCCCGCAACAGGTATGTTGTGTTTGTGCACACATGGCAGGCCACGCTGCAAGGCCAGCTGGGCACGGGCAACAGCATCAGCTCGGTAGCTGGATGCTGAGAGCGGGTCCAGAGGCCTTGATCACAGCAGACGTGGAGGTCGCCAGATCTGCATCCCATTCTTGACGAGACTCTCTGGTTGATAAGGTCCAGTATCCTGTCTCTACACGCGACCCGGACAACATGTGTTCCAATTACAAAAGGCACTTGAGTGCAGAGGCATCATCACGCGCTGTGCACCTGCGGTGGTCATTAGCCTGGACATGATACTCTCTCTCGTGCAGGATCGACGAATTCTTCGGGTCCGAGTGAAGCATCACATGCGAGGCATAGTCAACCCAGTATGTGCGGCAAATGCACTATGGTGCTGCATGCACAGGACGGCCGTCCTGGCCAAGCAGTGTCTACGAAGCCCGTGGCTCAGAGAAGATTCGGATCAAGATCCAGTCATCCGGACGAAGACGAAACTGAGGCAGAGAAAGTGTTGCTTCAGACGTTTGCCAAGTCTCCCGAGCTCTGCACGGCTTGCGTCCCGAGGAAAGTGTTCCTACACAGTACTATGCAGTATGGCACGGTGCGCAGCGTTTAATTTGAGGCCTTCTACCTGAACAATGACTTCTGCGAGAAGCTCTTAAGCGAGGCCGGGTCCCTCTGGCCCGCCCGTCGTCTCTTCGAGCTCTGCACTGCAGGCAGCAACTGCCTTCGAGCATGGAGTGTACCGCCCTCAGAAAGGAGTAGCAGAGACCCTGGCATGAACACTGGCCGTTAAGGTACCAGGAAGCACCTGCTCACACACAGCTGAGGACGTGCTGAACACTCACGTGTTTTGCTGGAGCTGAAACTCTGCAAGAGTGCACAATGCTTGGCAGGATGAACAATCCGAACTGGGAGGAGTCCGTCCAGAATCGCGTGGCAACTGCTGCAGCAGAGGCAGGTATCGGCAAGAGATGCGCAAGAGGGGCAGGATGTGCACGAGAGGCAAGGAACGATCGGTTCAACGATGTTCGCGGTCTTGCGTCTGCAGCTGTGGGTTTCAAGTCGTCGCCGCCATGCTGGGGCTTCGCTGTTGGCTGGTGTCTCTTGCGGCCAGTGGCGTGCGTGCTGGCGATGTCTTCACCTTGCCAGCTTTGCCGTATGAGCAGCACGGCTCATGGCTATACTCGTAGATTGAGATATCAGCAGACTTCTGTTGCGTTTCTCATGGCATAACGGCATAGGTATGTTTTGGGAGCGGCACGAGAGGTCTTGATTTTGGTTCCGCTTTTGATAAATTCAGAAGTTTCTCTGTTTCGGGCAGGAAAGCCAGGCGATTCAAGAGTCCTGTGGGTTCCTTGCAAACGAGGGGGCGTCAGTGCAGACGGTGCAAGTCCGTGGTAGGTTAGTGCAAGACATGAAGACGACACGTCTCCCCAACAACAGAGGCAAAATTTGGACGCATTCCTCTTGAGTCCTAGTCCGCATGCAGCACTTGTGCCAAAATGATGAGCTGGCACAACAGTGTGATGAAAGTGAAAACTCCAGATCCACTCACTACAATCAGCCTTGTTCTTGGTTGGCGTCGCGTTGAGGTGTTCGGGTTTATGATTACTATGCTCTAGGTACGACGCTCTGGAGCCGCACATCGATGCTGAAACGATGAAGATTCACCATGGGAGGTTTGGCACAGCTTATTAAGCTCGTGAGGAATTTCATGTCTATGCACTCTGCAGCCGTGAGATCCCTGTCGTTGCCAAAGTCATGTGTACTCAGGAAGCACCATGCTGCTTATGTCGCTGGCCTGAACGCTGCCATTAGCAAGTCTACAACGGATGGCAAGCTGGATGAAACTAACGCGGAGGTTTTGAGGTGAGGTAGGCGTTGGAAATGGACAAGTGATTATGCTCCGACTAAGGAAGCATGACAGCTCTGACAAGTTTGCAGCCTCATGCTGCAAAGACAGGAGCAGCACACCGGAACCATGGTGGTGGCCATTACAACCACGCGCTCTTTTGGGCCGCTCGGGCTTGGTGACTTTACACAGCAGTCGCCCCCCGTCCCCCCCGGCCCTCCCGCCGGGCTGTGGCCATGCCGCACGAGGTGAACCTGGCGCCGGCCAGCGGTTCTTCGGAACCTTCGCCTGACCTTGCAGCGGCTATCGACGACAAGTTCGGAAGCCTCGATGGCCTCAAAGAGGCTGAGTTTGGGAACGGGGTCAAGCTGTCTCAGTTGAAAGTTTGGACAGCATTCATGCGACACTGTCCAGCGAATTGTTGTAGACTGGGATGTGTCTTGAGTTTACGGATCGTGGCATCTGTCATCAGTACCGGGTTCTCGTGCCCAGGGATGCTCTGTAACATCTGGCAGGCAGCTTTGCAAATGTCAAATCTCCATGAATTGGTCGCTACTTGATTAGGTCGGCTTTGTCATTCATGACTCTTCCAGTCCTAGCTGTCGATTTTTTTGTGCGCCGGCTTGTGATTGGATTGCTCGGACTTCGACTTTTCAGCGTTCATGTGCCGTTTTTAAGCTCGCATCTTCGTTGTGTCGCTTGCAGGCCTTCTCAAAGGCAGCAATGGGTCGATTTGGCAGCGGCTGGGCTTGGCTGGGTGTGACACCTCAGGCCGCACTCTCAAATTCCCTCTGTTGGTGGACACAAGTTTACATGATCGTTCCACGCCAATTTTTCTTTTCCATCGTCTGCCTGCAGGGCTCCTTGGCCGTGACCTCCACTGCTAATCAGGTCGGCGCTATGACTATCCGCTATCTCCCGCTAGAACTGTGCAGCTACGTAACTCTAGCATGAACGGGCATCTGCTTCCGGCATCCTGGATGCATGGTGCCGTGCAGGACAATCCGCTCATGGAAGGTTTGGAGTACAGTGTTGAGAAGCTGATTCCTATCTTGGGCTTAGATGTCTGGGAGCACGCTTACTACCTGAAGTACCAGAATCGCCGCGCTGATTACGTTGCTCGATCTGCTCGAACAGGAGAGTGATGAGAGTTTTCCCTTGATGCGCAAGCCATTTGTGAACACAAGTGACCGCGACCTTCAGGTGTCAGCGTTCTGGAATGTGGTTAACTGGAAGAAGGCTTGGTGTTGTGGGTTTTTTCGGATGTGCATCTGGAGTTCGATTTCATGGAATGACCACGTCTCCGGGTAGGTGAGCCGCAATTACGAGGAGTATGCAAAGAAAGGACAGGCTACGAGCTCAGGATTCGGCAGCATGTTCCCTTTTGGGGCTTGTGCAGGACAGCCTGTGCCTCCAACGCCAACAGGAGGTGCTTCGCTTGCACAGTCAGGTTGTCAGGTCTCTCCTTTGAGCTGAGGGCGGGGAGTTGGCTAAGGTGGCCACGCTGTAGAGCTGTGAGATGCTGCAGCAGAACTGGTGGTCTTCACCTCCTACACGGAAACGTCTCCGTCACAACGTTTGGAAAGGGGCAGAGGGCAAGTGCAGTGACAGGATGGAAGTTGAGACATGTCTCCTTTCGTCCTTGGCAAAGTTGTCAGTGACGGCACGAAGACCGTGCAGCAGAAGTGCTTATCTAGAGTCTAGAGTGCTGAGGGTAGGAGCGGTACGCACTTGGCTTCAAGAAGTGCTTGTGCAGCCGTTGGTTACATGGCCCACAAGCGGCAGTCTTTGAAGAGACTTCTAACTATCTTTCGACTTTTGAAGCACATCGGAAGCAGGACGTTTGTCAAGTGCGAAGCTGTGCAGGACTTCCCAGATGCTGACTGCCTGCAGGTTGTGAGAAGACTCGCCGAAAAGAGCCAGACACCTACAGCAGTCTTGTGCTATCCAAGCCAGGCGTCTCTGGGGCAGCTGCCTCTTTCCGATGCGGCCCCACCCACCCCACTGAACGAGAAGAAAAGAAAATCTCAGGCTCTTTGTCGACTTCTTTCCCCAGCTGCTTTTGCGTCATGCGTTCTGTATCTACCTGGACCTAGCAGGACCTAGCCTATCTATCTATCTCTCCCTCACTCTCTCTCCTTCTCGCTCTCTCTCCTCATCTGAGGCTAGTCTCGGCATTAATGCTGCCAGCGGGATGCAGCCAACTCTGCGTGATCCTTACGAATGGATGAGAGGTCTGAAGGGGCTGCCAGCTTTGGACACATCCGAGGCACGAGACGACAGGAGAAGCGGGCTTCTTCCAATCCAAAGATGAAGCCATCGATACATCGAGCTAGAAGTTGGGTTAAGACGGGTTTCAGAGCTGCTTCCTCCAGTTTGTAATATGTCAAGGTTTCACCTGCATTGCTCGACTTAGTCGCTCTGCAGATGAAAGAGCCGAGATTTCATCTTTGCAATGCACAGGTGAACAATGTGTCTGCACTGGTGCTTGTGCTTATTTCTTCTTCATGATGCTCGAAGCTTTCTTGAATGCATGACAGCGCTGGAGCACATGAGACTCGGCCAGAATGAGTCAGCTGCCGATACCCTCAACTCGTTTAGATGTTCACGAGACAACAGGATGCGCAGGGAGAGTAGGTGAAGGTTGTTTAGTGTTTGCATGCGTCATTCCAGAAACTGTGCAGTTCGTCCCCGTCAGTGATGTTGAGACACAGGAAGCCCTCAGCAATGAAGCTATCTTGCATGAAGATCAGATGAATGTGGCATGTCTCTCGAGCCCTCAGAGGTCGTGTCTGCTGACCCTGCTGTTGGCTGTCTTGAATTCGCTTTGAGCGCAAGATCGCGCAGATTTTCGACAGGCTTTGAGGCTGCTTCCGGCCAGCCCGCTGCCTGGCTTCCCGGACGTGTTGGTCGGGACTCAGGACAGTGGCAGTCACAGTGGCAGCGAGTGCAGGGACCGCTTCCGCTTTCTGCTCCTTCGCTGGAGAGATCTCCTCCGTGATGCAGGAAGATGGGGCTGATGTGCTGCTCGGAGAGAATACGTCCGGCACTCTGTGAACTCTCCCTCCTTAAAGTCTTGCCTGCCGACTGAAGAGGTTGCAGGTGGCAGCTGTGGTCAACTGCGCATTGGATGACTGGCTGTACAAGGCTGTCTTGCTTAGCCGTCTGGCAGAGTCCAGCAGTGTGGCAAACACGAGCCCACATCGCAAAGAGCCACAAGCAAGGTCCGCAATGGCTACTGCGGTTCTGCAGCAGCTTGTCGTCTTCCGGCATGGGCCCGAGAGTGTAGAACACAGCGTTGTGTAAGAGTTTGTTTGGTGGCCACTCCCATGCCGTTGAAGTCGTAAAGACGCTTCAGAATCGCATGCAGTCTCTGCTTCTCTCTCGGTCTCTCTGTATCTATCTATCCATCTATCTCTGCATCTCTCTATCTCTCTACCTATCTGTCTCTATCTCTCCATGTCTCTATCTCTCTACTATCTATCTCTCTCTATCCTTCAGTTGGTCTGTCTGTCTGTCTGTCTGTCTGTCTGTCTTTCTGTCTGTCTATCTATCATTATCCATTTCTCTCTGTCTCTCTCTCTGTATATCTCCGTGTCTCTAGCTCTCCATGTCTCTGTCTGGCTATCTGGCTATCTCGCTGTCTCTGTCTGTCTCTCTATCGATCTAATCGATCTATCTATCCATATATCTATCGTTCTATCTCTCTATCCATCTATCTATTCATCTATATCTATATAACTATCTATCTATCTATCTGCCTATCTGCCTTTATATCTATCTGCTTATCTCTCTGTCTCTCTCTTTGTCTCTTTCTCTCGCTCTCGCTCTCGCTCTCGCTCTCGCTCTCGCTCTCGCTCTCGCTCTCGCTCTCGCTCTCGCTCTCGCTCTTTCTCTCTCTCTCTCTCTCTCTCTCTCTCTCTCTCTCTCCCCCTCTCTCCCTCTCTCCCTCTCTTTCTCTCTCTATCGCTCTCTCGCTCTCTCTGCTCCCTCCCTCTCTCTCCCCGTGGTCATGCTGCATGTGCCTCTCGAGGTCTTGAGAAGCTTTTCTGCCTGGAGATTCTGAACCTGGAAAGGAACAGACTGCAGAGGCTTCGCAACATGAGGATGAAGTCATCTGGAAGATGAGGCCAACATGCATTGTTGAACAGGTTAGGCCGTGGATTGAGCAAGCTGACAAAGCTGAAAGAGCCGTTGCCTTAGCTTGTGGCACCTCGGGGACATCCAGCACTGCAGTGGGACAGGCTGCGCTTGGGCCTGAACCAGCTGACGTCACTGGAGGGTCTGCCTGGCCTTGGTGCACTGGAGGCACCAAATTCCTTCTGCCTTCACAGACAGAAAGCCACTCATCTGTAGGTCCTGGATGCCAGCCGCAATCAGCTGACATCAGTTGCAACGGAGGAACTCAAAGGCCGTAGCGGTGCACACAAAGGTGTCCAGAGTCTAGAGATGTCCAGGACTCTCTTGATGCCAGGCTTGGGTAAGCTAGACGAGCTCGACCTTTCAGGCATCGGACCGGATTGGGGGGCCACAGAGAGCGCGGCCACTGGACCACAAGAGAAGACACGTTATTCGGAGGCAATGGGCTCTCCAACATCAGCTTTCTGGGTCTTGGAGGCCCAGGAGACATGCTTAGTTTCACATCGCAAGATAGTGCAACATGGCTTAACAACCAAGAGCACGAGACCAACACTTGCTAAGTCCGTCTATCGTCTTTGGATCTCTCCGACAACGCGCTGACGACATCCTCCTTCAAAGGCATCGGTGTACGGAGCAAAGCCGGCATAGCCAGTATTAAGTTTGAAGAGCTACTTTGCGAGGCCTTCCTTGTCTTCCACTGCTAACAGAATTCATGTTGGCGGGGAATCAACTGGAGGACGCCTTCATCCGTGCATCTTCTGTTTCTTAAGCCGGATCATCAGCCCTGTTTCTTTCTGCCAGCAGCAGGAAGTCCCAAGCAATCTGGCAAACTGTCGAGCCCCAATCCACGTCGGTTGTCACAGAGAGATAATGGTCATGCCTGTTTGACTGACGCGTGGTTTCAGGTTGCCCTGGCTTGGAGATACTTGACATGTCAAGAAACAGCCTTCTCTTCGTCACGGAGGATCGCGAGTCGATGTCGTGCAAAGCACACAATGCCCTGTGTCGTGTGCCAGCGAGGTGGACAAGCTAAAGGCGATTGCCACGTTACGTGAACTGAGTGTGAAGGCCAGGGTATTCCGTCTCTGGCTGGATAGGGAGCGAGACGTGGCGTCGTCAGGGCAACCCACTGGCGGACTGTGACGATTTCCCGAAGGCTGCTGATCTGCCTGATTTAATGTGGCTGCCCTCTTTGTCACCTGTCCGTGGAAGGCGGTGCGCTCTTTAGCTGGTCTTGAGTATGTCGACAACAGGCAAGTTTGGCCGGCACTGCAGCATGGAAGGCCCCTGACTTGCATCCCATTTGACAGGCAGCTGCAACCGCTGCAGAACTTGCTAGAGGAACGATGAGCGCCTTTTTTGTTGTGGCAGCTGTGGCATTTGCTGAATCACACAGGGTTTTTCCTGCAGGACGGCGTTGAAAACGAGGAGATGTTCGGCCTGACAAAGGTCGAGTCCGAGGCGGTCCTGGGTCTATAGGCAGCGTCTCCAACATCGAGAGCCACCGCCTGCATGGCACCAGGAGAAAGCCCCAACTTCGCGGCCTGGCACTGCTTCTCGCTTTGCCCTCAAAAAACGTTCTTAGTCTGTTCCGATGGCCGCATGAATTCTTGTCGAGGCCCTGGTACAGCTTCCCGCCCGGGCACGGCCTCACGACCGGGAACGGCAACTGCTATGAAAGAGGCCATGGCACAATCCCATCCCCTGCCTGTTTTATTCCTGCAGACATCAGGCGGGGGTGCAGCAACCCCTCATGCACACCCCAGCAGTTCCCGTGCGGAAGTGCGCAAGCCCGCGCCTCACAGTTCCAACGACATCCGCTGGCCCATCACGATTCATCTGCTTCTGCAGTCGGACAGGCGAGGAGCAGGTGTCGCAGTGGGCGCAGCTGCTTGGCACAGCACGGTTCGCATGCGGGACATCGGTCGCTGTTCGCCAGAATACTTCATCGCAGAGTCGAGGCAGACCATTGGGAGCCTTCAGGCCATCGGCAAACAGGTTGAGAAGACGTCCTCGCAGGCGCGAGAAGAAGGTCCTTAATGCCGAAGTTGAACACAAGCCGCACCAGGCAGAGCAAGACTTGAGGGAGATGTCCCAACCTCAACTGTTGCATGGACATTCCTTTAATTTGTGCTTTGCTGCAGTCCTCGCAGACAGCAAGACTGTTCTATGGACCACAGTGGAGGTTTTCCGGGTGTGTTTCTTTATCGGCCCGGTGCAGGCCTTTAAATTGTTCCCTACCAACATGGCTTTGCCCGAAATCTTGCAACTATCGTAACTGTAGCCAAAGAAGGGGTCTGCATGTTGGGGTCCTTCCCCGAAAGCCCTCAAAAGTACTCGGGTGTCTCGTTTCGGATGACAAGACTAGAGCCGCCAGTTTTTGTCCGTCAAGCTGCAACTAGCTGAACCTTTAGATCTAGGCAAGTATAGTAGTGTCTCTGGCATGCATGGCAGTCGACAAGCCGCTCATTCGATTGGGATGATCAGTTGATTTCAGTTGGAATAACCACAGCCTTTGCAAGGCATCGGTACGTTCAGAAAGCCAAGAAAGCCAACCGACTCCATGCGGAGTGGGAAGCCAGCGGAAGCCTTACGCTTCGATGTGGCCAGCGAATCTCCAGCTGTTGGCGGTTGTGGTCATCAGGGCAAGAAGACGCCATCCCAGAAGAGACAGAAGAGGCATCGCTCCAGAGCCGGATTCTTCACTGCCTTGTCTTGTGTAAACAGGCGGGCCCACCGACTCCGGACTGCCACCAGGCGAGAACGGGACGGTCGGGTAAATCTTGGTGTCAGTTTCACTTCACTCTTTGTGAGGCACCAACACCGCTGCGGCCAAGTTCTGGCAATGCAAGCCGAAAGCTGCGAGAGGCTTCCTGCGTTGGCACATGTGCCGTGTTGAAGGACTTCTCAAAAAACTGAGAGCTGGGTGCCAAGCGACAAGGAAGCACCAAAGTGACACTTGACACGAGGACTTAACCAAAGTAGCAGCTCCCAGCATGTCCAGCGGTGCCAGCTACTGCTGCTGCCGC